AAAGGCGCAAAGCTACACAGAGAAACCCTGTCTCGAAAAAAAAAGAAAAAGAAAAAAAAAAGGCCAGCTGCTCAAGAAGGCAACCTCTCCATTCACCCTTCCCCTGTACTTACTCAGTCCCACTCAAGCCAGGCTTCCCTAGGATACAAATGGTGTCACAGGAAGCAGGGAGGAGGTCGTCTTCCTCCTGACTCCTGCACCCCCAGCCCACCCTGCACACCTCGGCTGCATTCCCACAGTACGTTTGGAACCTGCCCAGCCTCCCCTTAGGAACTGGCACACTTGTTTCTACCAACCCCCAGCCCCTGGAGTTCCCATCTGTCCAGCTGACTGCTTCCTAGCAGTAGCTATTAGGGTCTCCAGGTAAGTGACCTCAAAGGTGGCAGGCGGGCCAAGTCTGTTGTTGCCCTCCACCTCACCTGACACTCTTAGTCTCTTGGGCCTTTCTCCCTCTCCATCTCCACAAACCCATACCAATCACCAAGATATGGACAGTTGAAGGCTCAAGCCTCCCAAACTCATCCATTTCTTTCATCCCCTACTACAGCCAACACCACACCACTCATGGACACCAATGGTTTCTGAATGTCACTGGGCAATTTCACAATATCACCACTTCAAATTTTATGGGAGATACAAACTGTATATCACCAGATGATAACACTTTACAGGACTGTATGCAGTACGTCCTTGACTATAAAACACATCAATCCTCCAGCACTGGAACATACTTTAAAGCAGATCAGCATCTCTCAGGTTAACACGAGATATTTCACAGATCACCTGACTCACGCCTGGGCCCTCTCCATACACTCACCAAACTAGCTGGCCTCACCTCAGCCTCTCTCTCTCCTCTAGGGAAAAGCCCTAGGCTTCCTCCTCAACTTCCTAAGGCCCTCTCCCTAGTCCTTCCTGCAAAGCGGGCCTTCTCTCACAAACCCTACTCATGCTCCTTTCCACCACCCAAGGCTGCACATCCTGTCCTCTCAACTCATTCACACCTGCCTGCCATACAGCCATCAGCTCCACAGGGACACAGCAAGCCCCTACTTTTGGTCTGGCGGTGGTGACACACACCTTTAATCCCAGCACTCAGGAGGCAGAGGCAGGCAGATTTCTGAGTTTGGGGCCAGCTTGGTCTACAGAGAGAGTTCCAGAACAGCCAAGGCTACAGAGAAACCCTGTCTTGGGGGTGGGGGATGGGGGTGGTGTCCCTACCCTGAATATACCCACCATGAACCACACACACAGCAATACTACCTGAAGTCTCTGCTTTCTGTTCATCCGCTGAGGACAGACTTGCCTAGCAAGATAACCTCACCTCACTGAAACTTACTTCCACCTTTCAACTACTACCTATCTAGAACCAGAACCTGGGTCTGTGGATGTGACTCAGTAGTAAAGCACTTGCCTAGCTAGTATATGAGAGGTCCTGGACCCCATCTCCAGTACCAGAAAGAAAATTAAGGAATCAGACAACTTTGATTCCCAGCCTTCCTGGTACTGCCCAACAAAACTGTGTCCCCAGCTGTTTGTGGTCAAGAGCTCTGTTCACAACCAAATATAGCAGAGTAAGAATACCACCAACCCTCAGCAGCACCTTCCAAGGTGGACATGCAAAGCTTATCTAAACCTAGCACAGTGCAGAGGTGTTAACTCCGTGGCCTCTGAAATCAAGACCACAGACATGTGATGCCTAGCTGTGTGTGTGGCTTGTCACATTTGTGCCACATCCTATGAAGAGGTTCGGGAGCCACTGACAAGAACAGACATAGCTTTCAAGGCGTACTTGGCACCTGAGACACGTAAGTAATGACTGTATATGGCACCTTTCTCTTCATCTCACAAGGAAGGCAAAGCCACTTGCAAACATATCCCACAAGGAACAGAAAAAACAGATAGGTTGAGACCAAATTCTTGCTATAGGCCCCAAGCTCCCACAAGGCCTTGGTCCTCTCTGGAGCCCCTGCATCACTCTTGGCCAGAACTGGAGGGCTATGGAGAGATGCAGAGGGTGGGAAGGGTGGCACACAAAACAAAGACAGCACCCTGACCTTTCCACAGCCAGGCACCTCGACGCCGTCCACGGGCCGGGGAATCTCAATGGACTTGACCAGCCCATACTTGCTGCACTCATCTCGTACATCCTCTACAATCTCCTCATACTCCTCATCGTCCAACAGCTCCTCGGGCAGCACCATGTTCATGAGGCACAGGACCTCAGTCGGGTGACCACCCATTTGCACCTGAGAGCTCATCAGGCCGGGCACTTGAAGGGTCACAGGTGTCTGATTGATAGTACTCTGTGGGGTCAGGGAGAACAGCAATGTCACCAAATGGCTCAGACTAGCCTCCCTCCATTCAAGCCTGTGCCTCTCACACCCAACCAGGGGGACCATTCCTCTACTTAAACACTTTTATGAACCCACTGCCCAAATCCCCTCCCATGAAAACTGGGGCCGAACTTAAGAAAACCTTCCCATCCAACCCTTCCCACCCCCAGGGTCCCTCTAGCCAATGGAAGATGACGTGCCGGGAGGCTCACCAGCGTGGCATTCTTGGCTCCTACACTCGCCCTCTGGACAAGCAGCTTCTTGTCCCCTAGCTGCATCCCATTCAGCCCCGCAATGGCCTATGGTCAGAGGACGAAGGGTGGGAGGGGTGCGGGGGAGGCACAGGTCAGGAACCGGGGCCCAGCACTTCCCCCAAAGCACCAAGCATCGATGGGGAAAGAGCGGAAGGCCAAGGGCATTTAGTTTGGAAAGAGGCAAAACCACGGGAAAGGATGAGTCCCCTCAAGCCCTTGCTTCAGACCAACCACCTCCCACCCTAGCCTGAGGAGAGGAGACCTAGGCTTAGAAACACAGCAAAGTTAAGAAGGCGCTCAGGGCTCACCTGATCTGTCACGTTGATGTCCACGTACTCACAGAAGGCATAGCCCTTGGAGAGCCCTGTGGCACTATCCTTGACCAGGTTGAAGGCCTTCAGAGGCCCGAAGGATGTCAGCAGTTCCTTCACCTGCAGGAGGCCAACAATCCATCAGGGTTTGGTCAGGCTGAGAGGGGTGGCTAGCAAGGGGGCAGAGGACTTACCTGGTCATCATTCAGGTAGTTGGGCAAGCCCCCGATGAACAGTTTGTGGGCCGAGTCTGGGACTACAGTGGACACAACTCCTAAAGACAGAATGTATAAAGACTTCAACTCCAGTATACAGTCATTTAGTTCCCAACATCCAAGGAGAAGCAGGGAGTGGTAATATACACGCTTGTCTTTCTCTCTTAGGAGCTGAGGACTGAAGAACCCAGGGCCTTGTGCTCTACCACTGAGCTAAATCCCCAACCTGCCCCCGACCACGCTTGTCTTTCAACACTTAGAAGGCTAAGGCAGGAGGCTCAGTCTCAAAAAAAAGTCTACAGTAAGCCCCTTCACAAGTCCTATCCTACCTAAGACACCTCATCAATAAAGGTGGGAGGGAGGAACCCACACTATACACACTTCCTACACCACACCCCCCACATTCTGACAAGTACACGTAGAACACCAACAACTGAACGTCAAAGATGTCCTAAGATCTGCCAACCCCTCGGAACTCTCACTCAGATGCTCAGTCCTTTGCCTTCAGGGTCCTGCAGGGGTGGCCTGTTTCCAGGGCAGAGTGACAAGGAGCGGAGAGGCTGCTGAGAACCACAGAGCAGGCCTCAGTGCTAGCCACTACTGCAATGGTGACTCGTGGCCGGCTCTGGGAAGCTGTGTTCAGGATCCATTCAAGAGCCAATGTAGCTACACGGTGCTATCAGCTGAGGAAGTCTGACCTGCCTGCTCAGCTCAACTCTGGACCCATATGGATAAGTAAGTGCTGGCCAGACAGTTCGCTGTGGCACCATGCAAGCCTCACCAGTACTACCATCACTTAATTCTCAGAGCCGTCATCGGGCCCCAGCATCAATCCAGCCTGACTCCTCAGTTCAAAAGTCCCGCTATGTAGCCTCCCCGTTTTCTGCCCTCCCCCTACTAAGTTCAGCAGTCCATCCTAATCTATGAGAGGGTAAGATATTAATGGGCATACCCTAAAACCTCAGCCACTGTGCCCCATCCATCTTCCAGGCTATCATCTGCCCCATTATAACACTTTAGCCCCAGAGAACTGCAGGCATCAACCCAGAGACTTCTAACCCAGTAGTAGACTCATACAGACCACTACAGGCCCAGTTCAAGAGCCACCATGACAAGCAGAAGCACTGAGAACCAGGGCATATCCAGCGCTGCCATTGGTCAGGAACAACTACTTTAAACACCTGCCATCTGGAGCTGGAGAGATGGCTGAACAGTTAAGAACTTGTTCTTGCAATGGACGCAGGTTCAGTTTACCAGCACCCGCATGATGGCTCACAACCATCCATAACTCCAGTTCTAGAGATCCGACTCACTCTTCTGACCTCCTTGGGCACCAGGCATGCATACGGTACACAGACATATGTAGTAGAAACACTCACACACATAAAATGAAACTTAAAAAAAAAAAATTAAATCTATCTCATCAAAACCCCCAGGTCTAATTCAAAAGGAGTAAAGCCCTAAGGGTAGGCAAAGGTGACTTCTAGAGCCCAACTCAACAGTGTCCTGTCTCTCAAAGGCAGCTCAGCAGCTTGGCTCTTCGTCACTCTGACAAGTAAGCAGTAAGGCAGGTCATGGCAGCAGCTGGACCCCAAGAGCAATCTGGTAATCATTGTGCCGTATCTCAAAGGCAGCCCACGGCAGGACCCAAGCTAGGTGCCCTGAGTTCAATTCTTTGCTGTCTACACCCACAGAACCAGGGAGAACACCACACTACACAAGGGGACATACACAAGCACACTGAACCACTTAATTCCAGGGACACAAGGTGCCAACACTGGTGACTAAGAAGAGGTTCACTTCTGTGGAAATGCAGCTCCGGCTTCCACTCCAGGTGACAGCAATCTCAAGTTACCAGCACACACTCTCACCAGGGAGGATGTCAGCCTTCCAATTTACAAATTGTTTTTTAACCCAATGATCAAGATATTAGATTTCATCACGTTTTTCTTCTTTGGTCTATGTAGTGACATTTGTTTTCCTCCTTTGGAAATTCAGAAGATAGGGCATAAAGGCAGAATTCCACTTGCTGCTGCGTTCTCTAAAGTGGTAAGGAGGTGCCAAATCAGAGGCAGAGCTGGAAAGCCAACCCTCTTCAGGTAGGCACCTCCCAAAGACTATGGTTTAATGGCAGCAGACTCCCTGTGGAAGAGGCTTGCCACTCAGCAGCATGACCCAAAGCACCTGTGCCTGCACTTACTGTTACAGCAGAAAGGTTAACACCAGAGGACAGAGAAAAGCTGAGCAGAGGCTCCAGAGCCAACCTGTGCAGCCCAGGATACCTATGAATTTAATGACCATGAACAAAAAAATTCACCACCATTCCCGGCTTTCCTCCTCTGTGAAAGGACAATTCCACCTTCTACAGAGGATGTCCTATCAAACTGTGATTAACACTTAACAGAGGCAGGTGTCGTGTGGCACATGCTTGTGATCCCAACACTGGAGGCGAGGAGTCGAATTGGGAGACCAGTCTGGGGTACAGTTATACCATATACAAAAAAACTCTACAGCCAGGCCTCCTGGTACAAGACTATAATCCCAAATATGCAAGAGGCTGATGCAGAAAGACCAAAAGTTCAAGGCCTCCCTCAAGACTCTGCCTCAAAACACTACCAGTCATCGAGCAAGCTGGACCTAGGCACAGGCCTAGTAATAACCCCAATCACTCAAGCAGTGAGGGGCAGGAAGCTCCAGCTCCAGCCCTGTAGTGAGAGACCCTCTCTCAAGAACTCAAAGGGGCCTGGGATTCACGGCAGAGACCCTGGGTTCAATCCTCAGTACCAGTGAATCTTCTTCAAGCAGTACACTGAGGAGCATGTTAGTTTCAGACCTAAACGTGTAAAGAGTGGAAAGAGGCACTGGCCTCACCAGACCTTACTGTGAAAATGTATGTGGTAGTCAGGGCCCTGACCCCAAGACCTCCACTACCAGGAGTTTTTCCCTGCTCTAAAGTGAAGGGGGGACTTGGCCCCAGTGGGCATCCTCCAATGCTGAGCATCAGCAAGCAAGCAGGACCCCCAATTCTGAAAGTCCCAATCAACCTCAGACCTGGCCCTCATTCCCACTTAGCTAGAGCCCCAACACCATGGCTTCCTACAGCCCAGCAGGACAAACAAGTTACACATCTCCACTTACACCCCACCTCATCTGCCAAATGCTAGCTCAGCAAACTACGGCCTGCAGGTTGACACACATGCAGAGCCTTTTAAATTCTGAAAGATTAATGCAGAACATTCAAAATCTATTTTTCTCAATGACCCTGTCTGTAGGTTTCACACTGTGACCTACCAATCAGAGGTGATAGTAAATACAACTAGAAGAAATAGCCCAGAACACATGCCAGACAGACATGGAATCAGTGAGCACTGACACACCAGGACCAGGCAGAGGTCTGTTGATATGCACCTGTAGGTACATACATACACACCAAGCCCTGAAATTCCAGGACCAAGGGGCCAAGGCAGAAACAATGCCCAGACTGCAAGTGCCACACTTCCCAACACCTCTGGTCTGGACCTGGCTGACATTTACAGGCTGTGTATTCCCAGATCACAGCTCACCACCTCAGATGCCCAGGACACATGCTAAGCTAGAAGAGTATCCACAGGGTCCAAATCACACACACTATCTCCAAGCAACTCTAGCTGGGCTAAGTACAGGAATCTGGGTGGAAGGAATAGTGAATCCAATCCCCCCACCTCCCTCCCCAACAAATTCCCACTCACCAGGCACATAAACAGAAGGGTTCTCTGACATGCCAGGCAGCGGCTGGTAGTCATGAGGCCTTCGAATCTTCAATGACTGGCCCTGGAAGATGATGCCATCAAAGGCCATGGCCTGGGTCGTCTCATCCACTGAACGGAACTGAAGGAAAAAGAAAAACAGTAGAATTAACAGGTAGGCAGGGACTAGATTAGACTAGCCCCCAGACCCCAGGACTGTAACTTTCCTCCCACTTGTATAAACAAATATCATACACCAAACCCTGGACTGGCCAATGGACTAACAGTCACGAGATTGCTTCTAGAAGTTCACATTCTAGAAAGCAAATATCCTGGCACCCCACAGATATGAAAGCAAGCACAGAGTCCTAAGCTCTGACAGACAGTGCTGGAAAGGGACCAACTGCTGAGAGAAGCCAGCATGGGAAGTCAGGTCAACTGAGTTTAGTGGCAATGACAGCCCAGGCTTTCTGATGAAGCGACATTTAAGCTGATGAAGTCTCCAACAGTACAAATCAAAGTAGACTCCGATGGGCAAGTGCAGACTGAGAAGGAACACTCAAGAACCTCAGCAGCCTAGATCACTCCAGCACCTCCACTGTGTTTGATGAGTATGGCCCCAGAGTTGAAAGCTAGGTCTGCATAGATCATAGAGAGTAACTGCCTTGAAAGGTGACTTAGAAACAAACATCTGGAGTGAACTGCTTCAGCCTAAGCCCCAAACAGAAAAAAGCACATTGTGTCCTCTGCAAGACCAGTGTAGCCTAAGCAGAGTGGACTGGGCCAGAACAGTCCGCAGAAACCCACAAAGCAAGCAGGGCCCAAACAGGCCTCCCAGGGGAGAGAGAACACAGAAGGCATAAGAAGGAGGGGACTGCAGAGCTCCTACAGCAGCCAAATGGAAAACGGGTGGCAGAGAAAGCCGCCAGAGAGGGCAGCACAGACCAGCCCCTTACCCCTTACCCCGTCACTGGAAAGCTCACCTCCAAAAAGGCAAAATTCTTGTCTTGATTTATCTGCACAGCCAAGACTGGGTTGCCGGGGGCCTGCGTCAATCCGCCCAAGCGCATCTGGGCGTTGAAGAAGTCCATCATAGCCTCCTGCAGAGGGAATAGGAGACAGGGGAGGGCGGGGAGGGAGGTGGAGAGAGGAGGGGAAGGGTGAGAGAGGGAGACACAGAGGGGTTTGGGGGTAAGGGGAGAGGAATGAGGGGAGGGAGAAGGGGAAGGGACAGTGGAATACGGGTCAGGGTACAGAGGTCAATGGTAGGAACAAATGCAGGAGGAGGAGGAGGAGACAGGAGACAGGAGCAAACGGCCAGACAGGACAGGCGTGAGGGAGCCATGGAGTCCAAACACGAGGAGGAAGAGGAGGAGGAGGAAACGTTATTCAAGAAAGGATGGAAGAACAGGACAGCAGGAGAAAGAAAAGCACGAGGATGACGACACAGAAGAAACACCCGGTGCAGACAAGGCAGGGAAGGCAGAAGAGCAACAGGCAAGAAGAGAAGACAAGCCAAGGGACAGGAAGGGAGCCCAGAGAGAGGCGGAGCACGGAGGAGAGTGCAGGGCAGGAGGGATGGAGGAGCAGGGGAGGAGGGGCAGGGCGGGAGGGGGGAGAAAAGAGTGATGTGGAGGGACCTGGCCCTGGAGTCCGGGGGCTGGTTTATCAAATGTAGCAAAGTGCAGGTTGAGAAAGTCAGAATGGACCTTACTTGCCTTCGACGATGGTAGCAAACTTTTTGTTGCTACGAGGGATCTCAGCCCCACAATATTTCACTTTAAAGAGAAATGGAAACAACTCTTTGATCTCGGGATTCTCAGGGGGTGCCACGGGAAGGGGTGGGGAGAGGGATGGGGGAGAGGAGCGGTAGGGGAAGGTGGGGGAGGTCAGGGCTATCAAAAATAAAAGAACAGCGACCATGGGAGGGATGTGTGGGAAAAGGATGTGGATAGACGGCAGAAGAGGAGAGCATGTCAGAAAACTGCAGGGACGTGCGTCTGTGTGTATGTGTGTCGAGTCTCCCTCTCTGTCTCTCTCCAACACGTAGGTACAATATGTAGGTAGGTACGTTATGTGTGTGTTTGATCCCTGGGTTGCTGGAGGAGGTTGGGGAAAGGGAGACGGGAGAGGGGAAGAGGAGGGAGGGAGGGGCCACCCCCAGCCCGGCCCCTGGCTGGCTCAACTCCATCCGTCCGTCTGGGAGGGGGCCGGGGGGTCTTGCAGGAACAGAGTCTGACCCGTGCAGGTTGGGGAAAGGGAATGGAGGGAGGGGAGGAACAAGGTGGGGGGACAGGGGAGAGGGCAGGGGTAGGAGGAGGGCAGTACCTCAGTGATGCCAAAAGGGATGTTGCCCACGTAGAGGCGCCTGGCCTGTCTGGTCATCTGGCTCCCAACCACAGGCACCGGCGTTGGGGTCACA